GCCCGCGGAGCATGGCGATCAGTAGCGGCGCAGGATCGAACGATCCTAGCCGATTAAATTGCTTTTCGAAATGTTCAGCCCAACGCTCCAAACGTTTTGACAACTTGTGGATATGCTGTTCACTCTCATCACAAATTGTTTCACTATCACCAGGTCAGCTGCTGCTCGTTTCCCGAAACAGCCGGAATAACACGATGGTTACCAAGGGCAGCGGCCACTTTCTTCTCTGACGCACCATGAGACCACCAATATTCGCGGTCTCTCTTCAGGCTAGCACGGATTTTTATCCGGAGCTCTTTGGGAGTTTTATTTTGTTTGCTTCCAGCCGGAATATACCGGCGAGCGTCGATATGTTCGAGAGACCGCGAAGAGACCCAATGTCCATGTTGGCTATTAGACATACAAATTGAGGATTTGCCTGCTGCTAGGATGGACTGGTAAATATGAAACCAGTGAGCTTTAATTGCATCCAATGAGCGTTCGTCCATCTTGCATGACAGCGTACTTTGATAAGCATTCATAACGGCTGGCTTTGTCAGTTGGCTGCTGCCAATGCGCCCACAGCGTCGTCGTGTGCGTCCGCCAAAACGCATCCGCATGTCGGCACCTAAAAGTGCATGATCGGTGTCCATACATGTGACCCAAATCAAGCGACAGTTCTGGATTCAGCCTCTTCAGCGGTAACTTATGGCAGTGTGATCGATCTGTTTCCAAGGCTGGTTCGAGGCTGGTGGGCGCCAAGTCACCTTCCGGCGGGCGCTGTGTCGGAAGTTAGTGCTCGTAATAAATAAGCCGGCATCTTCACACAAATGAAGCAACCGCTCACCGTTATCATTACAAGAGCCTACACCACGCTGACAGCCCAGATGCACTTAAGCAGTCGACAAATTCCCAAATTGCGCGCTCAGATCCCGGCCAGCACTACAGTGTCCGTGCTTCTTCCGTGGCCAAGGAGCTGGGTCAGTTGGCGGTAGAAGTAGTTCTTTACCGAATCATCGCTAGAGATTGTGGGCGCGTAAGCAGCGACGATGATTAGACACCCATTAGTCACTTGAGACTTCGGAGCTTTGAACGAGCCAGCCAATCAGACCGCACACATCCGGCTACCAATTTGAATCCAATCAAGCAGAGTAGCGTCAGCCAGGGGACTCAGGGCAATGCCAACACCAACCTGGCCGGTACTCGAAGCTGCATCGTCACTGGCTAGGCGCAATGAGAAAACACTGCTTGCGTTACCTGAATGGGATCGCAGAGTAAGCACAGAGCTCCAGTCTTGCAGACGGGCCTCCGATAAGCAGCAGGTATCGATCGAGAGTGTCACCAACTTTCGGGCAAGTGCTGCCTTTCGATCGACGTGTAGCAATGTGCATTCATTGTGGTATGCCAATCTAAAGGATGATCGGTGGCTCTAAATGGACGTCGATGAACTGGGCTTAGCCGTTTGGTTGGGCATGAGCTTGTGGAGAGGACATGAAGGACGCTCCGCGTTCACATCTGAGTTTAAACTAGAAGGTGAAGACCTAGCAAAGTAAGGTGGAGGAAGGCCATGAATCGGGGGTCAATTACTGGGGGACTAAGCGTGAAGTTGGTACGGGACGGTAAGAATGAAAAAGCATAGGAGAGGGAATACGAAGGCGAGAAAGCTTGAGCAGTAGCATCCAAACCCCTATCCACCCTGCTCGATGCAGCAGATAGGGCACCGTTGATTATCCTCAGCGGTGGCCAGCGCATTGATAAATTGTTTGAGGAAAGATAATGTATTGCGTGAGCAGGATAAGTCAGTTTGCTCAGGCTTAAACAGGAGAACGATTAGGGATCTCGACCAAAGTCTTTGATTCAACAAACTGACCGCATGGCAGCGGGTTTGGCGTTTGGCTTAAAGGAGTCCGTTTTAAACAATAAGGTGCCACCATCATTCCGGCCCCCAACCTGGAGGACCAGGAGGCTAAGTACGTCTGGTCTCTAACCATTGCCCAAGCTGGTATGGGCGGCTCTGAATGGAAAACTAAAAACGCCACCAGCATAACTGAGGCACACAAACCATCGCACCATGGTAAGGTACAGCCTCAATGCGATGGTAGTGAAAGCGGTAAATGTAGACAGTGTATCTTATTCTTGCACGTGTCAAGTAAATATTCAAAGGTGACTTTAGTCGACTTGTTAATCTGTAATTTGAAGCAGTGACTTTATTCATAGGCGAATAACCTCTTCCACGTCGCCGGATTGTTAAACGGGCACTTGTGGAATTTATAGGTTGAATGCTAGCCAGGCCAAAACCCACCACATCCTGGAACACGATGGTAAACTCGTTTGAACAATATTGCACAACTGGCAAAGCAATTTGCATGTTTGACGTCACACTCGGTCACTTGCGATCGAACGACTTCTAATTTTCTCTCTTGGCTTGGCCAGTACCGCCCTAGTCGTTGAGGCCGGTCGAAAAAGGAAAGTCAAGAGGAGCCGTGATGTTGAGCGTGCAAGAGGGTAAAGATTTCAGTATCTTAATATTTCAGATTCCCTATCCTTTTCGGTTGTCCAGCTACCCACCCTTGAAAACAGTCGCGGTGGTGAGTGTGGTTGAATCCAGTTGCTTTGCAGCATGGTCCAAGTAACTCCTCGTTCGTTATTACGTCCTGACCCAGACGAGAACGTCGTCCTTGAGTCCAATCCCAGGTCCTCAAAAGTTTCCGACCTGTAAAAGTGGATGTGAGAGACAACCGAGAGAAGTCCGTAAAGATGAAGTGTGCACTGAGGCATCGGCAAAGTCTTATGTTATAACATTTAGTTGAAAATATGACGTACAATGTGCAAAAAAGATTATGCTAAAAGTATCTTTTGAACTTGCTACAACAAGTAACGTCTGCATGAGTAGATAGCTATCATTTACTTGAATCACAAGGAAGTCGTGCCAGTAAGTAATTTCCGTAGTATCAGGCTACTAGGATGCAAATATTGCGTGGGAGGAGAGCAAAGCGAGTGCGAAGAATGACTGCGAATGACACAAAGTTAGAAACTGTGCGTTTTCGACTTTTTGTAGCTTATTCCGCCATATAGCAGCTATTTACTAGAGTAATTAGACGCGTTGTCTCGATATCTAGACGTGCTATACTCTACGCTTTTTAGACCCTATTTACGGCAAAACAGTGTTCCTGGAACACGAATTATGAAGCCGTGCTATTCCATTATGACTAACAACAATGGAATAAAAGGTAAAGCCGCCCGAGCCAAACACCGGGGCAAACGAAGACGTACGCATTCGAATACCGCAGTTTCTGTTGATCACAGCTCTGCCTCGTGCACTGCAAAGGCGGATAAGGCGACAAAACGTCCTGCTACAAAAGACAAACTGAATAAACTGCGCCCCTGCAGTGTCCTTCTTATAGACCCATTGAAAGATGCAATTAACAAAATCAGTGCACTCGCAACTGAAATGATTGCTCCAAAAAGGAAATGACTGTTACCAAAACAGAGCTAGCAAAACTTATTTAGAGGGTTGCCTACTCCGGGAGCCCAGAGAGCGATTCCAGAAGACAGATCGAGTTGCAGGGAAACTTTTATTGGTTCAGCAAAGGATTCCCTGTTAGCTAGCTATAAACGAACGACACCGTGGACGCTCTAGCTAAGGAAACGGAGCAAACACAGCACACAGAGCAGTCGCGCGTTGCAACCGAAGCGTGCGCCAAGCAAAAGTGGCGATGAGCAAGTAAAGTATTCGAAATCAGCAATCAGTTCAACAAACCACACCGGTTGCCTAAGTGTACAATTATAGCATTTTGGTTAGAATTTTACACAAGCAAACCGGAGAATCTCCAGACTGTTACATAGCCCTCTCCCAGAAGGGACTGTGTAAGCAGTCCTTCGATCTACGTGAGGACTGTCCGTCGCGGGCCAGCCTTCTGTGAGACCAGGTTGTGAAACCCGATGCAGCTGCTGGGGGAGAACCATGCAATCGGACCCTAGCGGGCTCCCACCCGTGTCCTCCCTTCGTGGTCGAAATGGTAAAAAAACTGTTTGTATGGGGGGACAGTTAGTAAAGTTCACTTGTGCGGTTGAGCAGGAAGTTCGTTCCACTTGCAGTTGACGTGCGGAAATCCAGCGAGAAGTGCAACCGAGGGGCAACCAACGGACGGTGTATATGGAAAGCAAAATGAGAAAGCAGCATAAGTGCATAGCCATACACAAAAGAGTGTAAAGCGAAAAACGTGCAACGCTGCTTTTGGGTTTTCAAAATCTTTTGCTCTATTTTAGTAGTTTCAAAACGTTTTGGTCTTTTTTTGTGAATTTTCCAAAACGTTTAGTAAGAGCAGAAAATTTCTAAGGCACGTTCTACGTAAAATAGTATGTGCTGACAAAGGCTGAAAAACGAACTGGAGGTTTTGAGAAACTCGGTCAACTCGTTCAGCTTTTGGTTGACGGAAGAACTCATTGATAGCGAATGGAGGCCAACCTGTATCAAGTGGGGTAAAAGTTGTAAATTTCTCTCTCGTCCACCACCTCCGATCTCCAGATGAAATTGACGGTTACACGCGAAGCGAGTTAACAAGCTCTTTACGTCGTGTAACGCCATCACGTAGCCTGGACTGACATTCAAAGTGCGCATAATGTAATCCATGAACTTGGCCAGGTGTTCTGCGTAGACCGTTTCTGCTGAAGGGTGCTGTTCCCTCGTCGGCTTCGATTTGCCCTCTGGTGTGACTGTGGAAGAGTTCGTTGGTGGCCCTAAGATAGGTAAAATTGAATCGCAACGCGCATCGCGATTGTGCCGCTGAGCCACAACCCATTGGTTCTCCGGAGAGGACCGTACAGAATTGACATAGCACGAGAAGTGCACGACGACAAAGTTGGACAATGTGGAGTAGCCTTTGGGAATTGGGACGGGGGAAGTTGTGGACACCTTGTCCGGTTCCGCTTCATAACACAACTGCTGCTCAAGCGGGCATTGGCGAACGTACACGTAGACACCAAAAACCTCCTGGGGAGCGTTACGAAAGCCCTCGAGGCTAATTGCGCAAGCCAAACCCGGTTTCTTCGGTGAGTGCTGAAGTCATGTTGGCTAATCGATCGGACTCGGTAACAGCAACCTGGCCTTTCTCGTCCACTCGCATATTCAAGCTTTGCAATTGACGTTGACGCATGCTAAATGCTAAACGCCGCGTTCTTAGAGAAGTGGATTTGCGTAAACGCTGGATAACAGAGGCCATCGTGACGCTTCGGGGAGGCGAATCCGCGACAGCCAGATGCTTGAAACGCGAGCCTACGGTTTGTTTGCTCGAGCACCATTCCGTGAGCATGTCTTCGTCCAGAAGACCCACGCGACCAGCTGACTTGCTCATCTCCAGTAGATGAAACAGATGTAACAACCGATCCGCCGTCACTGCAGGTCGACCGGGTTGGCGTGATTGATAATCTGACGACTGAGATAAACATTCAGAGTCTTGATCTCCGCTTAGGCAGGCGCGTAGGCCTTGAAGAACGTAAGGCAACGCTGGTAGAGATAGAAAAGCAGCTATCTCTGGGTCGTTTGTATTCAGCGCAGTGCCTTTCTCCAATTCCAGTGCACAGGGGGGTACAGTGTCCCACAAGAAATGCAGACACGTCTGCAAAACTCCTGCTCCTTCCACAATCTGACGTCGGAGTAACGCACCGTTGCGGATTTGTCGCTGTATAAAAACCATGAGAGAGCAACAGCAGGCCAACTGGGCTGATTCCAACTGGGAGTACTCGGCCGAGGGACTGATAACACTCAAATGCGCTTTGAGAAAGTCGACAATCGTCTCGATTTTCGATGCATCGCCAAAAGCCAACAAACCTAACAGTCGAGCCACATCATTTTTCACCACGGGCACATCAGGCTGTGCAGACATGCATTGCAGCAATTGTTGGAAACAGTTGAAATCTCCTTTCGGTATTACTCTCCCATTGGAGTCTTTGGCATCAGGCGACGAGGAATCGAGCTCATCAGCTAACTGTAGTATTGGCTCAAGTACCCGAATGAGCCTTCCGGTGATATCCTCGTGTAAATCGAAAGAAGCGTTGTCCGGTCGGGACCGGTCTGCTTGGAGACACATGAGCAACACATTGAGTAGGATAGGAATGGACCTCAAATCTAGATCAGTTAGGCGTTCGAAGAATTCTGGCGTTTTCAAACAGTACTTCAATATGTGCAAGATCACATCGAGCAAATCCCTACCCTGGAAGGGATCTTGAACTATGGTAAGACGACGGAAAAGGTCTGTGAGCCCGTGTGGATGTGTGGCCAAGACACCAATGTGCATGTATTGCTCTGGTGGCACTTGATCCGTCGCCAAGTGCTCCAAGTAGGGCAAATTATCCGACTCCAGACCAGGAATGCGATAGATGAGTCGCATTGGTTTGTTTGTGTTATTGGGGTTGGCACACCACACTTGGGTGTACACATCGTACAGGAGCAGCTGTGGCATCAGGATTTGGCCTTCGCACACTGTTTCCAAACCCATGTCAGTGGTCAAATTGTTCCCCGTGCAAATGTAATGAATCACGTTCTGGATCCGTGGGCCAAGGCCACGTGCATCGGAGTTCAGTAATTCCGAACGAGATCGGGTGAGCAGGTAGTCCTCGTGTCCACGCCACACATCCAGACTGATGGGAAAGACCGAGTGGTCGACGTCCATGGGGCACACGGGAGTGCACATTCGTTTGAGCAAGTACACAGCGGACTGATGATCCGATATGGGATACTCAGCGAGAACGTCCAACGTGGTCGTAAGAAATTCGCGAATCTGTGAAACAGACACGCCAATCAGTTGATGGAGCATCGATCCGAATTGGCCTTGAGCACGAACCGTGCAGTCAGTTCGCTGCAGCACCAGTTGGCGTAAGCGGACGCACGTGTGTAACAGGATTTGCAACAATTTGTATTGTTGCCGGCGGGAAAGCTTATTCAATGGCTCGAGCACTTTGAGCAATTCAGCTACCAATGCAATAGTGTAGCCCGGCGTGCTACCATGCAAAGCGCCAGTCCCACTGACAGAACCCAAAGTGGCAGCAATCAACTCGTCCCAGTGTCGAATCGGCATACATTCCAGTTGACGCATCTGTAGAAGCAGTTTGTCCACAAGAGCAGACAACGAATCCAGAAAGCTCGATTTTAATAGCAAGAACGGTACCATGAGAGAGTGGGACGATTTTGATTCCGGTTCGTTCACACCTGCGGAAGTGTCACTTAAGGAACTGAATGGCTCGGTAACCAGTCTACGGAATTTGATAACAAAGGCATCTCCAGCACTGAGCACGCTTGCGGTGGAACCAGCCTCGGTCGAGTGAATCAGGGAAGACGGTGAGATTGCGGCGCCACGGGACGTGGCTAGCTCATCCAATCTGGGAACGCAGTGCTTCGAGAGGAAGTGAAGAATCAACTGTCGTCGTCGTCGGTGGTGGGTAAACTGTAGCACACATCAACGAGTGGCTGTTCAATATTGGCGTTAACCAAGGCCCGCCGATGTGTAGATGGTGGTGGTGGTGCAGAGCTCAGGGCAGCTCGGGGTCAGCTCGGGGTCACCAGTTTAGAGGGTTGCCTATTCCGGGAGCCCAGAGAGCGATTCCAGAAGGCAGATCGAGTTGCAAGGAAACTTTTATTGGTTCAGCAAAAGATTCCCTGTTAGCTAGCTATAAACGAACGACACCGTGGACGCTCTAGCTAGGGAAACGGAGCAAACACAGCACACAGAGCAGTCGCGCGTTGCAACCGAAGCGAGCGCCAAGCAAAACTGGCGAAGAATAAGTAAAGTATTCGAACGCAGCAATCAGTTCAACAAACCACATCGGTTGCCTAAGTGTACAATTATAGAATTTTGGTTAGAATTTTACACAAGCAAACCGGAGAATCTCCAGACTGCTACACTTATGCCATTAACCCAACTCGCAGGAATAAGGACAAATGGCAACACTGACGAGCTCAAAGATGCCGGCGCCCTTCTTACTACCATCACTACTGAGATAAACGAGCGCACCCGCCGTGCCCGAAACGTGATTGCCTTCAACTTTCCTGAAATCTTCCCCTGGATAAAGTCACCCGCCTACTTACGTCCATGTGTAACATCCCTCCTGACATCTGCGTGCGTAAGCGGCTCATAAAAACGAAGATCAGTCACAATTGCCCTATCCTTATCGCATTAAAAACTCCAGAACTGGCTACAAACTTCATAGCAAATCGATTCACCTTAAGAACAAACGCAAACATTGGGCCCATTCTTATAAAGCCTGATCTAACGCCGTTGCAAAGAGCTTTCCCACTGGCTACTAATACCAAAGCAAGACAACAGCATCAAGATTCATCGCCGGTAGTCAGAGCTACTGCTTACCCTCCTACGAGCACTAACGTGGATTTAGATCTAACCCCCCTGCGTCACGCGTCTACGACAGCATTACATCCCGGCTCAAGCCCCACAGCCCTAATAAACAAAAAAGTCAACTAACGTTCCAGATTCGCCCCCGCTAACGATATAAGAAGCTGAGTCAATGCATAACGCCTCCGACATGAGTGACATCGATTCCGAATCCATCAATGTAGACTTCCCGATGATCAACTCCCTTCTCTCCCCCTCGTACAAAGCCGTAACTACCCTGGCAACACGACCGGCGACCAACAAAGGTCAACCGCTGAGACACGGCAGGCCTCGTAATGGGATGCACTCCCCGCTGATGCATCATCATAACAAAGATAACCGTACCCAAGCAATGTCCTCATGGCACAAACGGACAGCTGATAATCCCCTAACAACATTTGCACCAATGGATCGCGTGAGATCGAAATCCTTCCGATCCCAAACGCCGCCCCCACACAGATTTCGACCCGTACCGGCCCAATCACTGCGCAAGCCCTATCTACTCGAAACGCCCAACAATGCCACTAAGCCCCAGAAATATAACAAATGCCAAGGCTTTCAAAAACCGAGGACGTTCTACCAGTCACTGCAACTAAATAAAACTATGAACAGCCCGCGCTGCATCAACGCAGTGCTTCCCCTGAAACCAACTATCCGCCTGGTAAGCTATCGCCCAGTCGGCCCTACAAAAAGCGCTATGGCATCCAAAGATCAAATGCACAACCCCGTTACCAATCCCAACAGTCTCCCGAAACAGTGGGGAACAAAGCACCCACCAAAGAGGACGCCCTTCTGAAAATCTGTACCGCTCCAATAACACCACCCCGCACTCCCTGGCCATACGTCTCCCTGAACGAAAAATACATCCGAATGACAAGCACTACATCCGGACCATGCCATCCACGGCCCCTTTTTTATGGGATGCAGCAGGACACGACCCACTTCGCCCATTCCACCACGAGTTCTCGCCAGCTCTCTATTACCTCCAACAACTCATAGGCTCACTGCAACTAACCCCCCACAGTTGGCTTCAGCCCTCCGGATAGGTTCTAAACTCAATAGTGTTACTACAGCCTCATTAGAGGCCGAATATCATCAGCTACCTCCTCAACCACTTCCTGATCACAATCCTATACCACACTCTCCACCATTTCTTACCACTTCTATGTACCCTACGCCCGTTACACCCTATTGTGCTACTTACATCACACAATCGAACTCTTCCATCTCTCTTTGCGTTGAATCTTCCAGTATGCTGCTTATTAATGCGCGATCTATTACACACAAGATGCACCCCATTGGCCCATTTATCCTGCTCTCATACCCACAGCTGGTTCTCATCACAGAAACGTGGCACCCCTCAAATGCCTCTGACAGCCTACTACGTATCCCTGGCTACACCGCATTCTGCAACGGACGAGACAACCAGCGCGGTGGCGGTTGTCTTATCTATGTCCGGGACGATTTTGGTGCACCTGATTTCGAACTGCTAGCTATAGGTGACCCTGAAGACTCCATCTGGATCCAGACGACAGGAGGTCACCTTGATCTCCTTATCGGTTGCGTATACAACCCTCCACACACATCTAACAAAAAGATTAATAAACTCACTAAGCTCTTCACTGAAATCTTCCAAATGCCCCCACGGCACAAGATAGTGGGTGGCGATTTCAGGCTGGCTAGCCAAACAACATCCTCGTGGTGACAGCTGGGTGGTTCGTTTTTGACCCGTTCCAGCAAATAGTTCGGCGGCAGTGTTCCTGTACGTGTTGGGTTTTCGCCTGGCAAGCGTTCTCCCTATAAAAAGCCACAAATGTCTGCTTAACAACACTGTGACGTGGCGGTCGTGACTCGCCACAAGATAAAGTCACTGCCCCTTGGGTATCCGAATACTCCTTTCCAACGCACGGACATCCACCTTCTACTCGAGCATTGCCGACGATATGAGAGTCAACGTTAGAGCAGCACCGTTACAAACAGGAACCTCACAATGACACACCCACACACACAGTTACATAGTTACATACCGCCTACATAAACATACACTGGTACGGCCAACATAACGTATTCTTGCACATTCTAGACCACGCATTGTTGTCATATTGATCATGCCTGCAAAGGCGTGCCGCCTTGTCGAGAATAAAAACTTTATTTATTTACTTATATGCCACTTATCCCCTGGAACGACCAGGTTGCCTGTAGCAGTCTAGAGATCCCGCGGTTTGCTTGTGTAAAATCAATTAAAATTCTATAATTGTACACTTAGGCAACCGGTGTGGTTTGTTAAACTGATTGTTGAGTTCGAATACTTTACTTGCTCATCGCCACTTTTGCTTGGCGCTCGCTTCGGTTGCAACGCGCGACTGCTCTGTGTGCTGTGTTTGCTCCGTTTCCCTAGCTAGAGCGTCCACGGTGTCGTTCGTTTATAGCTAGCTAACAGGGAATCTTTTGCTGAACCAATAAAAGTTTCCCTACAACTCGATCTGTCTTCTGGAATCGCTCTCTGGGCTCCCGGAATAGGCAACCCTCTAAATTGGTGACCCCGGATCCGGAACAATCTCAACGCCGGATATTTCGAACTTTTCTCCGGTGAGCTCGTTCCATTTATTTTTCATATTTTTCGGTTTTATTTTTGCATACGGTAGCCTAATTTTTGCGTCAATTTTTTGAGCCATGCAATCTGTAGACCATAAGGTAGAGTCTCTGCTTAGCGTTGTATCTCTCTCAGTTCCACCTTTTTGGGACACGGATCCTGTTTTGTGGTTCGCTCATCTTGAGGCAGAGTTTTATAACCACAGAAGCACTTCCGACTACGCGAAATATTGCAAACTCTTGTCCTATCGCCCTAAGGAGATATCAATGCAGGTTCGTGATGTCATCATTTCTCAGACCGAAAACCGCTATGAGGCTCTCAAGGAGGCCACGATTAAGCGTGTTATGCCCTCTGAGAAAGTTCGCCTGCAGCAACTATTCAGGGATCTGCAACTGGGCGACAAACTGCCCTCAACCCTGCTACGGGAGATGCAGGAACTC